AGTCTTGTCGCCACCTCTGCGCGCCTTGCCACACAGGTAGAACTTGGCGTCGCCGTTGGAGCAGTCCGGGCAGTAGTAGGTCGTCTGGAACGACTTTTTGAGCTCGCCTCGATACAGCGAGCACACCTTGCACGACCGCTGACGCCTCTTCTGGATGCCGCCCCTCACAGTCACCCAGTCGTTGAACTGCACGAGCGTGTGCCCGGAGAATGCAGGGCGCCGTCGCTTGCGTGCTGCTGGCGACGGAGTGGGGGCTGCCAAGAAGTCTTCGTCCTTGAGCTGTAGCAGCTGCTTGTGCAGCATGCTCAACCACTCGTATCGCTTCATGGGCGTCTCGCCGGCGAGCCGACTGGCCTCTTTATGCGTGAGGTACGCGTTGACGAGCGCCAGGTCCAGTAGTCCGAGGAAAAGACTCTTATAATACTTCCGAAACCTGAAGGAGAGCTGGATGGAGGAGGACTGGAGGCGGAGCTGGTCATGCACGTCGACTCCTCCCATCCAGCGCTGGTAATCGTCACCAACTTCAGGCACTTGAACATCGAAGTCCCGAGCCCCTTCAGGTTCCGCTGGATCTTGTCCTCTGCCATGGACACACCTGTCGCGAGGTAGTGGACCGGCTTCCGGTCCCACCAGAGGCACGAAACCATGGTCGGCACTGCCGTCGATCTTGCGAACTTGAAGGATCCACGCTCGATGCGCCTTGGTCGCGTCTTATGCTCCGCTACGATGTCGCGGTTGAAGCCCAGGCGGTTCGTCATGATCGTACCGATCACGTAGATTGACATAGAGAGAAGCTGGAAGGCGAGGGCTGCGGACGAATAGAAGCGGTCGATGACCACAACCCGGAAGCCACGATGCCCAGCTAGAACAGTGCTCAGGTTGCGGATGACTGCCGCAGCGCCCGTCTTACGGTCATATGCCTGCGCAGCAGACTCGCTGGCTTGGCGTTTTCCGACATAGATCTCAAACCTGAAAGATACGACATTGAGAGCACGGTCAAAATCATAAAGTCATAACTTACGACCTAGCAAATCATCCAAAAAACATTCGTCGCTTACCGGTGGCAGTACGCAGTCAACGAGTCGCATGTCATAAACATCTTGGTCCCGTAGCGGTGAGGCTTGTCTGGCATGAACATCCTGGTCGTGTTGCGTCTGGATGTCGCCGGCAAGACACCTTCGTCAAACGAGATGATGTTCGGCGGCTTCCACGCGCTCAGGAACCGTTCCTGCAGTACATCAACAACGTCACGGATCTTGCACAGCTTGTCTTGACGGTTCGGGCTGTCATTGTTCGCGAAGTGTAGATCGCGCAGGATCGACGTGCAGCGGTTCCGGCTCATGTACTTGCCGAACGCACCTGCACTTAAAGCACCATCGTCGGTCATTGCCCAGTGCTGCGAAAAGCGTCGGGTGGGGCTCAACATATGAGCCACGAGAAGCCCAATAACGCACAAGATCTCGCGCGGTGAGTAGTCGTTCTCCCGACGAATACGGCGTCGAAGTTCACGAAGTGTACGCATGTTCTCCGTTCTGGACGTCCGCGATCGCTCATAACGCGCTCGATGGTCCACCGTCTGCCTTTTCATCCGGTTCGTCTCTTTGGTGATCTGCATCCACAGGCGCTTCGGTAGGAAATAAAACATCAATTCAAGAGGTGATTCTTTCTTCGAGCAAAGTTCTGGTGTTGGATGGGCGGTCTCCTGCACCAATCCGCGAAAGCAGGACACATCGTCCGCAAAAACTGTCGAAGGCGCGCTCCAGGCAAAGTTTCGCAGCGCTTCCTGGTCCATCTGCTCGATGGACAAGGTGCCACCCAGGGCCTCAATGAAAGCGGCATCCATGTGGGGCGACTCCTCGTCGTCCGATACCTCGTCCTCGTCTGGATCAGGACGGACAGGCTCCACGTCGTCGTCGTCAGAAAACTGGCCGTAGTCGGAGCCTGAACTCAGACTCTCGTACTCCTCTCTAAGATCTCCAGCCTTCATCAAGTTTACATCAGCTGGATCGCGTGGTACAACTGGTCCTCCAGCGTCGTCACCCTCGCTGGCGTCTCTCGGCTCCTCCACCGTGTCGTCCTCAGAGTCTAGGTCGGGCTCCGTCTCCGAGAGCAGCCGCTGGAAAGCTCCGATCCCGACACTCTGGTCTGAGTCATGCACCGCGTCAGCACGTAGCGGGGATAGCCCAAAAGCTCTCCCAACCGCGTTCCACGACAACGCAGGTGTTCCATCGTCCTCGCTGTCACTTCCGAACAGCGCGTCGACTGTGTTGGCCGAGAGGGCCACATTGCAATCAATCTGCGACGCTCGCACCATATCTCCATCACCGCTGTCGCCCCCACCGCTTCCAGCTTCACCGCCGCCACCGCTCTCAGCTTCACCGCCCCCACCGCTCTTGCCCTCACCGTTATCTCCACTATCCTCGCCACTGCTGTTGTCCTCTTCATCCTGAATCAGTCCGGTTGCGATCGCGTGCTCCACCACCGCTCTCTCACCTACCACAAACCAAGTTAGAAATGACGCATAGTAATACTGCAATAGCACAACATACCGTAGAACACAATCTCGCCTTCTGCAGGAACCTCGCTGGACGGCCTGACGTACGCTTAATCGTTTGACAGTCCGGTGGGAGGCTTCGACCGCCACCCCGCGGCCTTGAGCTGGCGCCACAGGTGGCTGAAGTCTATCAGGCGCGGATCCAGGGCGGGCGCTGACACCGACGCTTGAGCCTCAGCATTGGTCCTTGCGCTCACAGAGACCGGCATTTTGCTTACGTCTCAGCCGGCAAAATCTCGAATGGCTGAGAGTGCCCGAAGACTTCTGGCCACTCATCAAATGATGACAGTGGGAAAGGTCCACTTGAACCCTTTTCCTCGTACTGTCTTTGTGTGTGCAGCAAAAACCTCTCCAGCCTTATATCTGATCGGCCCCAAATTTGATTTGATTTCAGTATCAGGTCGCCGTTTCCGAGCCAGCTCCTATATGAAGAAAACACTATGTCGTAAGTTACGACGTACAATTTGGACTATGTCATAACTTATGACGTTGGTAACAGGGGGGTTAAGGGTAGTCAGTCATGTGCTTGTACAACGTGCGGATGATACGGACGTCCGTCGTGCTGGCACTTCAGATTCGAAGCCGCGTAGAACGTGGAAGACACAGATTTCTACAGCAGACTCGAGCGCACGAGATCCAGACGCTGAGCACTCGACACGGTTCATGATGAGGATCTTGCTCGCTACGAACATGGACATGAAGCGACTGAGCCTGTAGACGCTGTGAGCGTGTACCACTACAGCAGCTGTGTGTGCGTTACCACCAGACCCACGTTGCTTTAAAAAGGATGTACAGACCGTTGTACGCCGCACCCTGTGGATGCCGGACGTGGTCACAGACGCCGTGACGTTGCTGCTACGCAATTGTTGGAGTTAGTGTAGCTAGACACTGTGTCGTGGCAGTCCTGGACGGCAGCATCGCCCTTCTTAGATCACAGAGAGCCAGTCGGCAAGTCACCAGAGCCACTACAGATAGGTCCCTGGTCGTATTGCCTTACAGACACGTCAATGCACGTCTCCAACTGTTTCTTCGTAGCGGCAGGCGGAGCACCGAGCGCCGTGGCAGCCGGGTAGCGATGAAGAAGGGATGGCGCTGGGCGTCGAAGAAGCTGGAATGGCACCGAGCGTGGCGATAGGCATGGATGCAGCGATATTAGCGGGGATAGCGACAGGAGCCTTGGTGCCAGTAGTGATTGAAGCCGTATTATAGTGGGGCTGAGCAGTAAGACTACAGCTCTGTCCCTATAAGTGGACCCAAAGCAAGTTTCACAGCTCATTGAAATCAAGGCATTCTTTCTTAAGGTAATTACGTCCCGGTGTTTAGACGTTCGTTGAAAATTGTAAGAACACACGGGTCTCTGAAAATTCAGAGACCATCTCACAGTGCTGGTATTGATGTCGATTCAGAGTCTGATCTGCCACCGATGCTTGCAATCCTCAACTTTGCCCATGAACTGTCGCTCGCTATATGTAGTGTGAACGAGAAGGTAGTAGAGGCAATAAAGACGGTCGAAAATGAAAAGACGTCTAAACTGGCGTAAATACACGTTTTTATTACCACTGCTGTATAATACATAGGTACAGTACCTGCCTAGCAATACTTCTGATATCGCATACATGTACCTTTACAAAGATCAGCGTATCAGTTTTGGTACATGCTGTGTACTGTACGATAAATTGGACTCATCACAGCGAAGTTAATTAGTATGTACCGTACTGTACCAAATCAACATACGGATGCTTGAAAATAGTCAGTCGATTTGCAATGTGCTGGCACTGTTGCTGAGGTAAGCATTACATCACGAACAAGCACGCAACAATCACTGGTGTTGTACTGTGCACAACACGGCCCGCTGCGGACCTCGGTGACCGAGTCGGTCGCATTTTGCATTCTTGCGCTGTTGGCACATAATATGCGTCCGTCACTGCCCGTCGTGTCAGTAGCTTTGGCACTACTGCTTGCTCTGGTTGTGCAAGTCGCTGGCGCCAGCGATTATCAGCTCCAACAGCTATTTAATCTTCAGAGAAATACAACAACACAATGGCCGTCCCTACGATTTACCTTCGTGCTCAAGCGAAGCTCCATGAAGGTACACGGCCAATCGGAGTTCTCACTGGAAGCTGATCCTGATGTATTGGTCGACGAACACCACGTGCTGTATGACATCTTCGCGACGTTTACGAAAGGCAAGGCCGTCCACAAATATACGTTTGTTAATGGCACCGCGTACTACTCTACCAGCAGCGTCAACAATGTCACTGTTTCCTTTTCGATTGAGTGTCTGGATCCAGAATTTAATCGTCTCCCGCCCATCAATGCTATTGTGGATGCGATCAATCAAACCACACCAATTATCAGTGGTCCCAGTGGTGGTGGAAACCTGTTTAAAGTTACCGTGAACGATATCGACTTTGCGCTATGAGCTGCAGGGTCAACAGGTTTTACAATGTACGGCAGCGACATGGATATCACCGTCGAATATGTCAACACACGCGCGAATATCTCGATACCAATAGCTACGAGCACTGATCTACCTGATTGTATGACTGCAGCTTCACCAAGCACAATAACTTCGACTGGAAAGGCATTGCTAACAGGTACATCCGAATCAACAGGCAGTTCCAGGAGACTTAAAGCCGAGTTTGGCTTTACGTGGGGAGATGATTCTACGTGCTCGTGTAAATCGACACCTCGACCCTGTATCTTTATTCACGGTATGGGAGTTCCTTACGAGCTGCCAGACAATCAAGACTCATTGTTTTATTGGGGAAACCTAACTGGCCACACGCCATGCTGCACAACAGTCAAGTATGCAGTGCTTGATACAATAAACAACACGTGGACAAACCACTCCCAGCAGCACAAGGTTTGCAATCGCGCTCTTGCTGTCAGTAAAACCAGCAAAGATAACGTTATTTCGGACACTATCATCGTCTCACATTCCATGGGGAATCTCATGCTGGCTGGAGTGATTGCGTCGGGGAAATGCAGTCTCGATTCCAGCTCAACGTGGGTGGGTATAGCTGCACCTATGAAGGGAAGTAAGGCGTCTGACTTTATTCAAAGATCATGTTCTGGAAAGACCAACTTTCTCATGCAAAAATGGCAAAGAACAGTGGACGATGTCCTCCCACGACAGCGTTAAAGTCCATGTCATACGGGGGTGAGAGCTACAGCACACTGGAGACAATAAGGCTTTCAAAGCAGCACAAAAAGACTTCCAATCCAACGTATCAGCTCTTATGTGTAGCACGGGTTTTTGGGGACTGAGGTCGTCATACCAAACTACGCTGTGGGCACTGGGGATACTGGGACATCACCACTCGTGGAAAATGACGGTATGGTCGGCTTTCCAGAATCAAAATTCGGTAAAACCTGGAAAAACCGGTTTTATAGGACTAAACTTAACCTCTACGACATACAGTTCAAACATGGCGATGGGTTATTCAGCAAGGCAATGATGCCTGTGAAGTGGCTCGAATGTCTGTTGTAAATAACGTAATATACCAGAGATTAACCAAGGTACTGATAAAGTACCGGTATTACCGAAACTCGTCCGAAGAAGAAGTGTGCCATGATCGCTCTATAGAGCAGCGAATCCTCCATCTCGACATCTTCTTCTCCCTCCTCTTCCTCGTCGTCGCCCTCGTCATCGCTTATGATTTCGTATCTGGTGGCATCCACATACGTGTCGCGCTCAGCCTGCTCCTCTGGGTCATCGAAGAAGAGCTCGTTTTTACGCTTCTTGTCTTCTGGACGCCAGCTCAACGTCAGAGTCTCCATGCGGTTGAACTTGTCTTCTTCCCGTCCAAACAGCGAGACGTTGACACTTAGAGAAGGGTGTTTCACCTTCACAGCCTCCAGCATGGGTCGCAGTTGATCGCGCATGTACGGCTCACTCCACATACGGGACACCTTGGACTCGTACGGGCTCCCTATGTAGATAAGAGGCTTAGTACGACATGCAGCAGCTTCTAGAGCATCCTCACTAATCTCCGACAGGAGCCTCAATAGCTCCACAATTGCTGCGTAGAAACGAGGTTGCGCCAGTCTGGTGCGTTGGTCGTCTCCGATCAGGACACTAAGCATCCGTTCGGGTCCAACAGAACCCTCAAACTTGGTCACATGACAGAACCACTCGAAGATTCCTTGTCCAGTTAAACGCACAGCACAGAGATCGATGACAGTGAGGTACTTGAGACTCGCAAGAGCAGTCAAAGTACGGTCGGAGAGCTCTTTCACAGTCTGCACATTGAAATTCTGGTAGTCGGACGCGTCGATCATCTCGATGGACTCGAGAAGCGGACAGTGCTCCGCCAGCACTGCTTCCCAGAACTCGTCTCCATACACTGCCGAGTTAAAGTAGTGCGTTTGAGGTTTATTGTTCTGGCGGCAATCGATGTCGATCGAGAGGCTAGACATGCCTCAAAAACAGCGCGAGCGTCACTGGCAAAGACGCCATAGCCCGACGGAGTAGTCACCTCTTCGACCTCAGCTTCAGCTACGTCCACTGCAGTCTCGGACATATCGATCGTACCTCCAGCTCATGCCGGCAGAGAGTGATAGCGATTGTTACTTGGGTTTCACGTACTCTCCAAACACGCGGAAGAATGGATCAGCAAAGGGCACGGCAAACCAATGGAAGCTCCGCAAGTTGGAGCATTTAGCATTGAACGCTCGCCACGTTTCGAGGGAGATGGTCCACATCTCAGGGTAGTGGACATCTGAGTACGATATCACTTTCCGGTATCCGTCGAGGTATTCGATCTTTGGACAAAAGGTGGTCACATTCTCAATGTACTTTGTGCTTCCATGATAGCGGTCCGACTGGCTCCTTAATGGAAGTGTACGTTGCTTCAAGCCTCCAGTCGAATCCATCTCTCCATAGCTGCATACAACGTCGTCATGACCTTGTCGATGCTTGGACCGCTCACTGTGCTGCGTTTTTCTAGATTGCGTGGTAGAATCAGGAATTCCAAGTGGCGACAGTGTGACGCTGTAGCCTCCACGATCTCCGGGATATGTTTACTCAGTAGTGAAATCTTGGTTAACTCGAGTCTCTTTAGACCTATCGGCCACTGAACCACCTCGTGTTTCAACACTTTGATGCATTGCTGCAATGTCTCCAGGTGTCGTGGAGTCTTCTGTGTCAAATTCATTGTTGTCCTTCGACAATTCGATGCAAAACTGCGAACGGCGTGTAAAGTACTTTTGCATGCCAGCGCCACGTCTTGCAGACGTTCTGAAGACGCCAAGTCCTGCGTGAAGCCGTGCACTGGAACTCAAGCATGCGCGCTAGCACGGGAGGCGGGAGCGACACCAGGCCTCGGCATCTTCGATTTTTTCAGTCCAAGGATTTGGAACCTGTTACTTCCGTCTTTTTCAGGATAACTTTTATTTTTGTTAGCTTTTATAAAAAGTAAAACAAAAACGTTTTTACATACTGAACTTTATTGTTTTTGCAATAGATTTCTAACTCTGGAGTATAACCTCTGACAGTTTAAAAATCCAGCAAAGTAAATCCATTAAACCCCAAGTCAGTTATAAAAAACCCACCAATTTCTGACAATATGACTTCGACGCTGGTGGCGCTCCCGCCGCCGATTCTTTCTACCATCGTCTTGTTTGCCGTCGAAGGGCTCAATCTGGACTTGGCACCCTTCAAGACTAAGTTGCCGGTCAATCGTCTAAGAGATGTGGCGCTGGTGTGCAAAGCAACACACAAAATAGTGGAGAGAACATAAAGAAAATCTCCCGGAACGAAGCGTATTTGGAGCTACTGGACACCATCGAACCCGAAGAGTTCGACGAGATTGTACAAGGATTTCGAGAAGACGAAGCGATCATACGCGACTTTCGACTCGGCTTGGGCCCGTACGAGCAATGTGAAGGTACCTTCGACCCAAGGAACTTCAATCCACACGAACCAGATCTAGGAGATCTAGATCAAGCGGCTCTTGACTGGGACGCCATGTTCAGCTGCATGTCTGGCCTCAAGACTAGATCTGTCATAAATTCCTCTTTTAAGTCGACACCTCCCTGGAATTCTCAGAGCTGCATCGAGACAATGTCCACACCTGGAATTCCTGCTCATGCCGAGGAAAGAAGACTGTTTCTTCGTAGTTAAAGAACCCCAAATCCAAGACTTACTGGCGGCTTTAACTGTAGCCTTAGAGACGTGGTTCTCTGCGAAAACTTGTGGGGGTTTAAAGCAACTCAGTATGCCTACATGTGACGAGGGCAATGAACACAGCAGCACACAGTACATCGAGGCTGTGACCCAATTTTGCCCCGGAATCAAGTACATTGACGGATTTATACAAACCGTGGCGGATAGCCAAGAAGAATGCCTCGATATGTGGTCAATCTCACTGAAAACTTGGCAGGATTTTAACGCCTCTTGCACAGCACTGCGATTCTTCAACTGGACGCTCGTACCCTTCGGCGATCCATTCTTTCGTGTGTTTGGGGAGCATGTCAAACCCCAACTGACGTCACTGTCACTAACCGCAAATTTGCGCTGGAGCTACGAGCGCTATCTCCGCCATTATCATGGCTCTGCAACGAGAGAGGACGAGTGGGATACCCACCCGGACTACGGTACTTCTTGTCATTATCCTGGCGAGGCATTACGAGGATGCCCCGCACTGAAAAAAGCTGATTATTGAGATCGACTACTCGAAAATCCAACACCGAAAGGTGGACCCATCTGTGTATGGGGATGAGTTCTGGACAGCGGTGGCTAGACATTGCCCTAGACTGGAAATTATTGATATGGTGGACTTGTCGATGCATCCGCTGTTCAATAAGAGACCTATCCAAACGTTGACGAAACGTACCCTCGTAACCCTTGCTGGGATGAAGTGGTTACGCTACTGTACCCTTGCTCCAGCTCGTCTCTCTGGTTTTTGAGTATCTGCTATGCGTCGTGGGGTCGGATAGTTGTATATCGAAACGCACAATTGACATCAGTACTGGAGGCCACGAGAGTAACAGACGAGCCAAGTTTTACCGAGAAATTGCAACTTTTCTTAAGCTACTCGCAGAGACAAGTGACGAAGAATTGGGCGTGGCGTCGAACCCCGTTTTGATTCTTACCAACCCGTACAAATCCAAAGTGAGACAGGATTGGTGTGAGGAATACATGCGCGATGAACTATTGCCGCTGTTAAGGGCTGTTGCTGAAAATCATCCGTCGCTGACAATCCAAGTGCCGATGCTAAGCGAGGCTTTGGTCGTAGATTAGGTACTTGGACACGCGAAATTGGTAATCAATAGACAAAATTTGCACTTGCTGCTTCCCAAGAATTATTGTTAAAATTGGAGAAAAAAACATTAAAAGAATTAAATTAAAAATTAAAAAAGATTAAATACTTTTTAATTAAAGCTCAAACGGACAGCTGTCTGATTCGTTGAAGTGAGTTTATAACAAGCTTCTTATTGGCTCAAACAGTAAATTAGTCCACAATTTGGATCTAGTGAAATGTCGAATTTGTCGTCGCTACCGCCGTCTGTGCTCGCGCATGTGCTGGAGTTCGCAGTCTGTGGCGTCACTCAGAGCTTGGCACCTGCAGGGCGATCATTGCATCTCGACGGTGTGAAAAATGTGGCGCTGGTATGCAAAAGCACTTTGCACTCGGTTCGTAGTCTGGTTTCTGTCTTTCGAGCTACGACGATGAGTCTGGCACTAGAAAATGAAGCGACAATTGTAGACGTAGAAACAATGTACCGACGCGTTGAGATGCACGGAGTAGATGTGACCGATCTTCGTATTCGACTGGGGGAATATACGCGTGAAGGTCATCCGTTCATGGTTTGGAAGAACGCGGAACCTGGAAAACTGGAGAAAGTGGCAATCGAGTGGAACGCATTGTTTCGCTTTCTACCAGGTCTGAAGAGGCTCGGTCTATCTAAAATCCCGTTGCTGAGTAAGCATATTCTGCTAGTACTGGAGTCTGCAGCCACCTATTGTCGTCAGTTGGAATACCTGATTATGCCGGTAAGGTACTACACGTTTCACAGCACACACGGCGCAAATATCAACAAGATCATGGCAACGCTTTACAGTGCTATGGAGATATGGTATTCGACTGGAGGTCTACGACAACTTACACTTCCTACGTGGAATGGGGTGAACTCTAACGCTGCAAGTACTCGATACATTGAGAGTGTGACGAGGTTCTGTCCGAGAATTGAGTACCTTGACGAATATAAACAAGCGCGTTCAAAATTACTGGACATACGATCGATATGACAGAACATGCCAAACACATGTATTTACTGTTCAGCACACAGCAAATCATTTGACTTGACTTCTGTATACTTTTGACCTTCTGAGTGTCGCAATAAGACATAAATTATGATTGTGTCACATAATCGACGATTAGAGGTCACAGCAGAAAAGGGACCAGCCGCGCTCGCTTGGCTGGGCGCCCCTTCGGCGCCCCCGCCCCCGCGGTTCGCTGTGCTCGCAATATGGAGATAGAATGTCCTGGAAAGTGTAGTGCTCTGCTCGCTGGTGAGCTCAGCGCTGGGCCGCCTCGCACCCGCTCACCTTAGTTGGCGCCGCGGCTATGGCACCCACGTCGCCCAGCCAGCCCCGTGTGTGTTATCCCAGCGATGGACGTCTATTTTCTCGATCGATATACCGGTATACGATATTGCAGTGAACAGATAACCCTGGATTTGCCAGATTTCTACGGAGAAATTGTGGTGCTTTTGAGTCTTCTTTTGGAGAAGGTCTTGGAGCCGCTTCAGGCCAGACAAAGCCTCTCTTCGAGGTTGTTAATCCAAACGAGTCCGCTGTATCCTGCCAAAATTTATATGCTCGAAAAAATCAGACCACTGATTGAGGCAGTACGGGCAAACACCGGGAGAATCTAACGAGGGCCCTCATCCGGAGGGCCCTCGCATAAAAAAGAGCAGTAAGGAAAACTACAGTTTACCGGTATCTGTACTTGTAAATACCAGTATAAATCGTTCCCGTTGTCCCGTTGCAAATCGTTCCCGTCTCAACGACCGTTCCCGTTGAAAAAAAAACGTTTTACTTTCAGATTCAAAGCAAACTCATGAACTCGGTCACCAGGCGTATTCTCGTTCATGCGCTCGAAGCCAGGCGGAACAGAGCAGGAGGCCCACCAGGACTACCAAGGCGACGACATAGCTCGTGCCCGCGCAGCCCATCCCGGCGGAGTTCCAGCAAGCAAGGTGCTAGCTTTGCAGCCCAATACGAGGCTTCGAGTCTTTGACGGATGCTTCGCTGCCAGGGACGACAGCAAAGAGCGCATTGTGGAAATTCCCGTGGGATTTTGCCTAATCTTTAGAGGAGATCTCATTCACAGCGGTGTTGCTTTCATCAAAACTAACTACCGTGTACACTGCTATCTAAGCTACGACGACGTGCACTGGACACCTGATGTGGTCCAAAAGGTTCTTCCGAGTCATGATGTGTGTGGTTTCTGCGGTGTCAAGATGATAAAAGGGCCTGGGCTGCGCAAACATCGGTATTTGTGTTAGCAGAATTCCGATAGAGCTTCGAACCGGTTGAAGCGAAGCGCGAGGGCAAGGAGGGTGTCTTCAAATGCGAGTTGTGCCCAAACGTCGAATACCCCGTGGCGAGTAGTTTGCGTTCGCACAAGAACAGAGTCAACGGTAGCGGCCAGTAGGTGGAGTAAATCTCATTACATCGCATTTAAAGGTTCATATTGCAAATTTCCTTTATTTTTTAAATTATTGGAAGTTGAAGTAAAATTTAAAGTTGAAGTTGCAAGAAAACATATATTTAGACGTATAGCTTCTGTCTGGTCTACTGCTTCTCGTTTGGCTGTTGGTCAGTAAAGGGGATACGGCCGGCAAAACCCCATGAACGCGGTGGTAGGAAAGCGTCTTCGAAACTCAAAACTACGTCTCCTTCGTGGATGCCGAACTGTTGCATATCAATCGGGGGCAGACCTACCATTGTAGGTGGAGTAGCAGGATGACTCAAATCCATGCGCTCATTGAAAGTTGGCTCGCGTCCAGTTCCTCTTTTGCCTTGATTCTTTCGATGCTGGGCTTGTCGTTTTCCCTTTCGAATCGTGCGGATTGTAGCTGGTTCTTGAATTCTGGGCACAGTGTGCTTATCTTGATCCCTATAAATCCACCAATGCTTGTCGAAACCATGAGGAGCTAAGAGCCGTTGCCCGTTGGACTCGACGATCGAAATTAACTCGTGCAGACATGGTCTGCCGTGTACGACACGGAAAACACCTGAGCACTTGCTACGCTGAACCCCGCTGTTTACTATCTTCTCCGCATGTTTCCACAGCCTCTCTGTTTCTCCAAGAGCTACTTGTTTGTCTTGTAGGTACAGTCAGCTACCAGAACGTCGAAGTGAAACTTGAACAGCGCAGTAGTCGCTGGGTGGGCCCAAAAGAGATGCGTGACTTCGTTTGTCTCGGGGTTAAGGCGAAACTTGTAGAAGATCTTGTGCTTAACGAGTTCTTGAAACAGGGCCTCAGTTGCCGTTCTAGATGCCAAGTCGTGTCGACGGCTTGCATCCTTGGCGTTAGAAATGTCCTTGGCAACGATGAGAGAGCGTGGGTCTGCGCTTAGAACTGTTGCATGAATCGTCGAAGGCGTGGCCCCGGCTGCTGTCTAAAGCTCAGCCAAATCCAGAGTGTGTGAGGCCAGTGGTTGTGATGTTGCTTGGATGGCCCGACGCCTATGCTGCGCATGTACGCGAACATCCCGCGAAGGTTGATGGTTATGATGCGTGCTTCGAGCAGTATGAACAATCTTCCACTGGCCGGCAGTGTCATCTTTATCTACAGCCCTAATCCCTATCCGCATCGGGCAAGCCGAGCGCTTCGATCCCCGTAGCGTACGCTTCCGAGCATGCTCGGTCAGGTGTTGAGTGTTCTTAGGGGCCCCTGCACGGTCACACTCGTAGTTACGAACCCAAATTTCGCGTTCGGGGCCACCCTTGTACCGAACACGTCGGCGAGAGACGTTGAAGCCGTGATCTAGCGTCCACTGGTGCAGCGCGGCTTCAGCAGCATCGTGAGAGCTGTAAGTGGTCTCTGGGGGCGGCTGAATAGCGTGAAGGGGGAGGTTGTTGCCGCTCATGGCTAATCAAATTGTATTTGGTGACCTTTCGTTCGTCTATAATCTTCGTCTACAGCTTACAGCCCTTCGTCTACACGAAAGTACCGGTTTATACCGGTAAGTACATCACAATCACACATGGACCTTTTGTGCAAGGGCCCTCCGGATGAGGGCCCTCGTTAGATTCTCCCGCAACACCCTTCGCTACAAGTCAGCGTATCACTGTTCGGACAGAAAGCATACCAATTCAGCCGAATCGGTAAGCTAACCCTGGACTGGCAATCGCATAAAAAAAATTATTCAAGTAATCGACTGTCAAAATAAAAGCGATTCGTCTGAAAGCGATCTTTAAACATTGACACGTTAGGATTGTTTTATACACTAATCTAATGCATCTATGAATTCTCTAAAATAATGCACCCAGCAATGCTCACTGTACTGCTAATATTGGCAGCTTCTTGATATGTGGTTTATTGAGATGGCTGACAGTAATTGTAAGAAGTAATAAAAAAATAGCGCTGTTCTCGTGAGCGCAGATATAGCAGATGCCTAAAGCATACCATCCGTGTCATCGGGAATGCAG